GGAGGGGAGGGTGACAGTGCTATGCATGTCTGCAGACAAAAGTAGCTGCTTCCCCTTCTCGGTTCTGTGCATCATGCACCGTGCTGAGAGAGCCTGAGGCGTCCTCTGTGTATGTAGGTGTCTGTGAGGGTGAGACCATGTCAGACTGAGCCTATCACGGGCTCCTCACACGGTGCCCAGAGCACAAGAGGTGCTCAGGAGACATTTGAGGGATGTGTGAATAATAAGCAAGGAGGGAGTGGATAGAAACAAGGAACTGTGAAGAGCCTGCCAACACTCAAACAAATAACACCTCCTCTTCTGGGAAATTCTTTTCTCAAATGGGAAACTCTTTGGATAATGTCCTACAGCATCTGAAAGACTTCAATTGAAGATAGAAGTTTGCTTCCGGAAGGGATATCGTGGCTATGTTATGAAAGAGTGCCCGGGACTGGTAATTCTTGGAGGTGAAATCCTAAGCAGACGCCTGTCTTCCTGGGGTGTGGGGGGTGGGCAGTGTCCAGAGACAAGGGAAGGGGGCACTTTTTGCCCTGGAGGCACAGTTGAACTGGAAATACAGTGCTATTTGGAGTCTTCAATAAAGGCCAGGGTCCAAACTCCTTGCTGGGTTCTGAAAGGGTCAAGTATCAGATGAGGCCCCCAGGCTTGGGAGAAAGCCTTCTGGGGCTCGAAGCAGGACTTACCTGGTGGTGAGAACGCGGAATGTTCTTCCTTCTCTGGCTGTGGAAATGCACATCTGCTGTGGACTGTCTTTTTATTGCCGTTTCCCACCCATGTGGCTCTCTAGGATTGGTGCAGAGATGTTAGCCTACCAGGCGTACACTGGGTTCGTTGGGTGCAGGTAAGATAAACAATTTACCAGAAAGGGTGGTGAAGGGGAGGCCCCTTTGTTCCCACAGCCCCTGCCCACCACCCCCCTACAGGTAACCCTTCCAGCAGTCTCTCCTCCATGCAAATGCTTCTCTATAAACAAGAGCAGCGTGTACTAAACGCTGAACACACCTGAGCACTGCTTTGCACCCATTATTTCTCACATTTAATCCTCACAATGAACCCATGAAGTAGTACCATATTTATTACTGGAAACCAAACATTAATCAAAAGGAAGCTTAATATCCAAAGGGAAGTGGAGAGAAATCAAACAGGCACTTGTTTGCACAATAGATTTCCAATTGTTTCTTACATTCCTAGCTAATCACCTTAGAACCCTTCTGTTCCGTCTGGAACCACTCAACTTGAAGTCAGTTAGGACCAAGGGTGAAATAAGGAAGGGCGGATGGGTGTTTCTAGTTTTTGGCCCATAGAATCTACCCAACTGCAGATGCTCCATGCTGAGAAGTCTGGGAAAGGTCAATCTGGGGACGTGTGAATCACAGATCAGCAAAGGCTAGCCTAGACCCTTGGAAAAAATAAGCATCTGAAGAGCCTGTCCATATGTGGGCTGCTCCAGAGACTGGGAGGTAGAGAACTGAGAGGAAGCTGAAGATTTTGGACTTTTAAATTTCAGGCTTGAAAAACAGAAAAAGAGACACAGATGTACAGAACAGACTTTGGGACTCTGTGGGAGAAGGCGAGGGTGGGATGTTCTGAGAGAATAGCATTGAAACATGTATACTATCAAGGGTGAAACAGATCACCAGCCCAGGTTGGATGCATGAGACAAGTGCTCAGGGCTGTTCTCTGCGGCCATTACTATTCACTTCACTCTCCCACTTTCTCCATTCTCAGCAGGTGTCTTACATTCCACCTCAAGAAAATGTAGGCCATCACACTTGACCTCACTCAACTTTGTGTCCCCTTCCTCTAGAAACATAAACACCTACCTCCACTTTCCACCTCCTCCCCAGCTTCTGATAAGGTGATCTTTCCTCTTTTCAAAATCAGTTCCTCCACCTGTCTCTGACTTCTCCATTCCAGTCTGAAAGTGAAAGTGAAGTCGCTCAGTCATAATTGACTCTTTGTGACCCCATGGACTGTTTGAGGCATATGGCTAAGACTGCTTTGCAAACGTCCTCTCTTATGCAAGTCCACTGGGCATTTTTCCTGGCCTCTTGTCAATGGATTTTTTGCTGCTTTCTTTAGGCACTCTGTGTTTCCTTGACTCCCCTGCACCAATTGCTTTCTTTATTCTCTATCTGGATACTTGTGCTCTAAAATTATCATGATCATTGTCATGATAATTACCTTCTTCCTCCAGTTGTCCCTGAGATGGCTGCTGGGTCTTATCTTTCTTTGTTACTCCAGGGACTCTCCCTGGGAGGTGTCAAGTTATCTCAGGGTTTCAAGTACCATCCACAGGCTGGTGAGTTCCAAATCTGTACCTCCATCCCTGACTACTTCCTTAATTTCAGATCCACCTTCCCAGGTGCCTGCTGGACTGCTTTACTTGGACTGAGATGCTCAAGGCACCTTGAACCTTAGCAGGTCCACATCCTAACTCATCATTTCCCCTATATCCCGCCCTCCTCATTGCATCATCTATCTTAATCATCGGCACCACTGCTCACCTGGTCACCTGAACTGGAAACCTGACTCCTGCCTTTACCGTCAGTCTAGCATTTTCAGTAATTGCTAATATCTGAAATATTTGTGAACCTATCTTTCCCTCTTCAAGCCCATTTCATCAACCTTAAGTCAGGCCACTATCATCTCTTAGAAGAGTGATTTTAACAGCTGCCTAGTGGGTCTGTTTTATTCTTGTCCCCTTTGATTCTGTTATCTCCCTGCAGCCAGATGTCACGGCATCACCTCTCTGCATTATTCCCCACCACTTGCATGTGAAGTATCCTGGGATCTGACCCCTATTCACAGCTCCCACCTCATCTACAGCTTCTCCCAGCATACCATATGCTTGCTTGGATCACTCTGTGCCCAGCCTCTTGCTACCGCTTACCGTTCAGGCTTGCCTCTCCCAGGAAGTCTTTCCTAAATTCCACAGGTTGGCTGGAGTTGCTCTTCTGTGCTCCTGCGCCTCTCTGGGCTGATTGCAGTCGCACTCAATTACCCACTAACCTATCTGTCTCCCTCTGAAGGTTGTAAGGTCTTTGCAGATTTCAATCTTATCTTTGCAGTTCTAATGAGCACCTAGTAAGTACTAGTTGAGTTAACAAATGGACAAAAATGACAGTGTGTATGTTTAAGACCCTTTCCTGTGAGTGATGCCTCAAACTTTAGGTGTCCAAGTCTTAGTGAAAGCTTGGTAGAAAGACACAAGGCCTCAAGGCATTTGCACTTGCTGGCCCACTACTGGTAATCTTCCTCATATATTCATTTTCTTCTCTCAGTTTCTGCATCTCAGTGAGACCTTTCCCCAGTCATCCTATGTAAACTAACGCCTTCTTTGCCTTATTACTGCTGTTTTCCCCTGCGCCCCTGTCAGTTGCTTCAGTCATGTCTGACTCTGCGACCCTACGCACTGTGACCCACCAGGTTCTTCTGCGCATGGGGATGCTCCAAGCAAGAATACTGGGGTGGGTTGCCATGCTCTCTTCCAAGGGACCTTCCTGACCCAAGGATCGAACCCACGTCTCTCTATGTTTCCTGCACTGGCGGGTGGGTTCTTTACCACTAGTGCCACCCGGGAAGCCCCAGGTGGCTTATCACATAGCTATTGTTTAAACTTATCCCCCCTTTAAACATAGGGTCCTTATCAGCAAGGGCTCTGTTCTCATCACTGGCAATTCCCCTGCTGCCTATAAAAGTGTCAAGTCTTGAATTTATGCTCAAAATACTTGTCGTATATTGAGTTGAACAACTATCTGATAGCAAACAAGAGTGAAACATAAAGGGAAGAGGAAAAAAGGAACAGAGGGATAAAGGGATAAATTCTGATATATTTTTTCCTCCTGGCTGTTGACCCTTGTTTTCATTTTTTTTTATGTTCTCTTGCACCCGAATCAAAGCATAGATTGTGCACACATCTAGCTGGCCCATCTGACCCTGGACGTCCTCCCATAGCTCTGACATAAAGGCAGCGGGTGTGGGGATTCAGTGCATGTCTGTGTGTGATAAGAGGTTCCTCAACTCGAGATGTGCTGACCTCACGGCCCCCTGTTTGCTGATACACACGTGTGGCTTTCCCTGGGATCAGAGGTTCTAAAAATGGGTCAGGGCCTTGGTCTCTTCTGAAAGCCACAGCTGGGGTCCAGGGAAGCAGCTGGCATCAAGGTGGACATTTCCCATGAGCATCAGCTTCCTTTGGTTCACTTGTTAAAGAAGTCCAGAGCCCCTTGAGATATCTGGGTCTCCTGGGCGGTCTCCAGTTGTGCCTCCAAGGAACCTTGTAGAGGTCTCCCTTGCAAAACATCCTCTCTCAATGGAGTTAATGGTCTGCTTTCTGTTTTTGTTGCCAAGTCCTTGTAAACAGGTCTACCTCTCCTGCATTGGGCAGGGAGAAAAGTGCAAAGGATGGTGGGACATGCCATCTAAGTCCCTTATATAAGGATTGTGACACTCCAGAAGCCTGGGACTGTGTCTATTCTATTCAGGACTATCCTTTTCTAGCACCAAGCATAGTTCCTGGCACATACTGGGTGCTCAAATAAATGTTTCTGGAAAGCTGAATGAACCCTGGGAGGGTATCACAATTATCCCCATAATATAGAAGCAGCAGCCTCCTGTTATACCCTCCATTTCTGCAATGCCTGACAGACTTATGATTACTCGTTCAAGTTTTTTTCCCTTGCCAGGCCTTAAGCCCTGGGAAGGCAGAAATTGTTTACAGCTGTATCCCCAGTACATTGTTTGGATCATAGTAAGTGACCAGCAAATATTTCTTGACTGACTGAAAGGATAGATGGATGGATAAAGTTCAGAGACAGTGTGCATTTTATTTAAGCTCATAAAACCAGAGCTGAACCCAGTCTGTGACCAGACCATGAAGTCCATGAGGGCAGGAATGGAGTCTGGTTTTTCTCACCATCAGATCCTTAGCACCACAGACAGTGCCTACATGGAGCAGGAGCACAATAAATACTTGTTGAATGAATGAATGACTCAATGACTGAGCTTTTTTTTAATTATTATTTTGCAACATCCTTCAAGGAGATAGAGACCTCATGAACAGACATACCACAAGTCCCATTTTGAGAGAAATCATTTAAAGACACAGGCTGTTTTTCTGTAGCAAAGATTAAAGGGGAGAAAAATAGGAGCAGAGTGACTGAAGTGTGGGCTCCTTTATCAGCGGGTGGAGTGCTAGCATGCATCGCCTCGCCAGTCAGTAGAAAGTGAGTTGGTAGCCACAGAGTACTGGATTTCTGGCCACTGATCACAGAGACGTCAGGGTCAAAGTGGCCGACAGAAGCAGAGGCAGCCAGACCTGCAGGAGCCCTGAAAAGAAAGAGATTATAGGGTTGTTCCTAGCACTGGTATGCACATTTAATGTGCAAAACTAACAAAAAATGCCTCCTCTAAACTGACGAGTTAGAAAAGGACATGTTCTCTGAGCAGATCAGTTAGAAAAAGGAAGTTTTTAATCGCTTCTCGGCCTTTTGGCTAAGATCAAGTGTAGAAAAAGGAAGTTTTTTCTTTATCTGCCCTGAAAACCAGTTAGAAAAAGGTGCCCTCCCAGATGGGCCAATCTGAAAAAGGCAGCCTTTCTGCAGGCACTAGCTGGTATCCACTCAAGGGTACTCCTGTGCAGTGACCAACCTACTCAACCTTGGTGACCTTGAGGGATAGTCACAAAGGGCAAGTCTCTTGCCTCTCCAGGACTGAGCTGACTGATACTGGGATGAACTAGCTCATGTCAAACACTAGGTTGGTGTAACAACCCACTCAGATCTAGGTGCCAAGAGCCAAGCAGAGCAACAGTTACACAGATTCACTTTTTATCCAGATTTTCAGACAATTCAGTGGCCATAAAAGTCAAGGGCCATTAAAATGCTGCCAGTCTCCGGTCTTTGTGGTCAGAGGAGCGGAGAAGCAGAAAACAGAGTGTTTTGTTTGTCTGCTGTGTTCATCCTGGCACCAAACATCCTGAAAAAGGTGTTAGAGATACATCTTGAGCTTCAGGAAATGCCCAAGATGCAGATCACAACGCAGTGTGCTTGTCCACTACGTCCAAGTGTGTAACAAGCATCCATATGTCTGCATATGCAGATTCACACACAAGCAGCTGCAGCTGTCATGATGTTTGTGTGCGAGTGTGACTATATGCATGTGACCTCGTGGACGTGTCTGAAAAAGCCTAGGTGACGTTTGCTCTTGTGCACCTGTTTGTGTGTGCCTGCGTCCATGTGCACTGTCGTGGGACAGCACAGGTGTGTGTGCACATGTGCAGCCCCAGGTCCAACACTTCCACAAACGCAGTCACCTCTTCAGAGCTCAGGCCAAGCAGGCCGGGCCCTCCAGGACACCCTAGGCCAACAGATAAAAGCCCCAGACGGAGGTTTTGGTCAAATCCCTGTGCAAAGAGGATCTGAACTTACCCAAGCTACTGGGAGCAGCCCTTGACACTGCAGCCTGGCCCCCTGTGGGAAGAAACAGAAGGATCAGCGCATGGGAAGCCTGGAAGAAGCCCCTTCCATCTGCTCTTCTTTGCAGCCAGAGTGTGGTCTTTTTGAAACCCCAATTTGATCATCTCACTCCGGTGCTTTGGATCCCTCGGGGGCTGCCGTCTACTTTCAGGAAAAAGGGCCCAAAACCTTAGCAAGAACTACATGTCATTTATAATTCAAGTAGAAGAAGGAGAAAGGGAAGGGGGAGGAGAAGAAGAAAAAAGAGAAGTACTATCATTGGAAGGACTGATGTTGAAGCTGAAACTCCAATACTGTGGCTACCTGATTCGAAGAGCTGACTCATTTGAAAAGATCCTGATGCTGGGAAAGATTGAGGGCAGGAGGAGAAGGGGACAACAGAGGATGAGATGGTTGGATGGCATCACCAACTCAATGGACATGAGTCTGGGTAAACTCCAGGAGTTGGTGATGGACAGGGAGGCCTGGTGTGCTGTGGTTCATGAGGTCGCAAAGAGTCGGACAGACTGAGCGACTGAACTGAACTGATAAGGCCTCACGTGGTCTGGTCCCCCACCTCCATCAGCTCACCCACACCAACCTCTCCTCCTCCTCTAGCACCCTGGGTTCCCTCCTGCTCAGGCCTTTTGCTCACTCTCTACTCTCTCCCTGGGATGCCTCCCTCTTTTCCGCTTCTCCTGACCCCTGTTACTTAATCCTTTCTCAGTTTCCAAACCTCACTTCCTTTCTCCCCCAATCCTCCAAACTAGGTCTGCTTCCCCTGCAGTAAGAGCTCAGAGTTCCTGATCCATCTTCATGCCTGCACTTATCACAACTCCAAAGACACAAGATTATTTAAATGATGTCTCCTCTACGGGTCCATAAGTGGCACATGAGCCAGGCTTGTACCCATCGCTGCTCATTCTGAGACCCCAGCCACTAACACAAGGCCTGGCACAAGGCAGGCATGAGATGACAGCTGTGCGATGAATGAGAACCTGCAGGAGGAAGGCAACTTATAGACTACCTCGCCTCACAGGATTTACTTGCTCCGGTTCTTCAGATCCTGGTAAGATCCCAAGTGCCAGGTTCTCTCAGCTCTCCTCATCTCCAGAGAACATTTCTCACCGGGAACATGGAGAGGGGAGTGGCCTTCTTACCCTTCCGTGTGATGGGACCCAAGTTCAGGACCCGGGTTTGGTCTATGATGCTCCCACTGCGGAATCTGGTCTCAGGGCAGGTCTGCAGGGAAAGGGTGACAAAGAAACCTTTCCACAAGAGAGACTGGATGAGGCCCTGCCGTGGAAACCTGGGTGCCCCCTTTGTAAGAGCAACCTCTTGCCTTGGGCTGGGACTTGAGGATGGTAGAGGCAGGGGTTGTTAGGAGAACTGTATACATGGGTTTCTGTCCCAGCTCTGCCATTTGTTAGATGTATGATCTTAGGAAAGTCACTTACATTTTCTAAGCCTCTCCCCATATGGAAAAGGGGGCTGGTAAAATACCTCCCTTATAGAGTTGTTGTGAAGTATCAAAAAGTTAACACACGCAAGTCATACACAATGCTTAAAAATGTCAGTTTCTGCTATTAGCACACAAGCTTGAAGATAAGTGAGAGGTTTACCAGCCTGCTGCAGCACCCTGATCTCACCCAGCTGCCCCACAGCCGAGTCTCCTGTCTGGCCAGGCCAGCCTCATCTTATCGCTCTGTCTACCCCTGCACTAAAATGAAAATATGGCAGAGATGTTTGTTTTCTTTTAACCTGTGGCCAAGTGTCTTCAGCTGGGTGTGAGGGTGTGGCAAACAGACTGAGGGAAGAGGGGTCTGACTCACAGGTCGGCACTTTTCATTCACGGCGTCACAGAGATACACTTCACAATGCAGGTACACCAGATCGTAGTTTCCAGCAAAACGGAACATCTGCACAGAAAACCGGCCCTGAGGGGACTCCCCATTCTCCTCCACTTGGATGGTTGAGTCCGCAGTGCGTGGACATCTGGGAAGCATACATCACATAACATGGTTGGTTGTGCAAACACTCTGGGGCCAGGCTTCCTGGGTTCGGATCTCACTCTATCACTTATCAGCTGTGTGACTGTGGGCAATTTACTCAGTCTCCCTGAGCCTGTTGCCCTATCTATGTGTGAGGAATAATAATTTTAGCTTGCATCATAAAGATAGCTGCGACTATTAAATGAGTTAAATTGTCAGCATGGGCCATACAATAGGTGCTACATGTATGTGACTCTAAAATACAAATGTAATCAGTTCAGAGCTTAAACTATCCTTAAGTAAGCACTTTCTGATTTCCCAGGAAATGGCATTCAGGAGTCATTACCTACCATTTATTGGCTGCCTCCTAGTGCCTGGTGTTAATTCTCACATTGGAAACATCTCAGCACTGAAGGCCGCTGGGCAAACTGGGCTGTGTGTATGCTCATCAGCACACATTATTACCCAGCGCACTCAAACACACAGATAGGAACTCAAAACTGCATGTCCAGAGACTCACGTGTACTGGGCTGGATCAGGGCATGCAGGCACCCTGAGCAGGCAAATCAGGCACCCCATCTGCTCTTTGACACTATCCGCTCAAAATGGACTTAAAAAGGGGAGCTGGAGGCGTCAGACCGAGAAGGGAACTCCTCAGGATGGTGTTCACTTTGGTCTGTGTCCCCCACAATTCAAATCTGACTCCATTTGGCAAAAGACAAGCCCTGTGGTTAAGGGGACCCACCTTCCAAAAAGCAGAGAGAGTGGCAGCCAGCACTGCCCCTGGCAGCCCCAGGCAGTCAACCCAAGTAAGGCACCTACGTGTCTCCCCCAGCCCCCAAGCACCTCCGCAACTCATCTCCTCCTTACACCCCTGTGATTTTCTGAGTGTCTCACAGACTGGCAGTCCTCAGCCCGGCTCCCACCCATGCCATGGCAGACACACAGGGCCACAGCCAGCATTTCTTCATGCTTCGTTTTCAAGACTTTGTAAGCTTTTCACAATGCACATGCTCTACCTTTATACTCAGAAGAAAAAAAACAAAGCTTAAAAATCCCTGCACAGTAGGTTTTCTTCATGCCTGTTTCACATATGAGAACATAAATACTCAGATAGATGAGCTGACTTGTGTCTTGAACTAAGAAACAGCAAACCCATGCTATGAACCCAAGTCTCCATGATGTCCCAGTCAAGATCACATCAGCATTTTTCAAATTTTAGTTTTTTTAGCCTTATACAGAAACCACCACCCTGAATGTTTTCCAGTTTACCAATATTTGTACTATTATTTTACATTATTATATTACTATTACTATTTTCTTTAAATTTACATACTTTTTTGTTGAAATACATTTATTTTTTAAAAAGATCATGACCACAAATACCTAACCCAGGGCTTCCCAGGTGGCAAAAAAAATAAAGAATCTCCACCTGCCAATGCAGGAGATGCAAGAGATGAGGGTTCCGTCCTGAGGTCAGGAAGATTCCCTGGAGTAGGAAATGGCAACCCACTTCAGTGCTCCTGCCTGCAGACTTAACGTGGACAGAGGAGCCTGGCAGGCTACAGTCCGTGTGGTCACAAAGAATTGAACGGCTGAGAACACAGCACATTACTTGCCATATATAAAATACGACCATACAAACACAGTCAGACACTGCTATTACATTTTACTTCAACACTGTTGATTGTAAAAGACCCCCAAAAGACTTCTGTTCTCCTTTTCTTTTGTTGTAAAGGGAGATTAGCAAATAACAGAAGTGTGAACACCAGAGGAGCACCCAACTGAACCTTTTCCCCTTGATACGACCAGGCAGATTCTAAGAGAACTGAGACAGAAATAGGTCAGGGTCTCCTGGGAATGCTTTCTCTGACTGCACTCTTAAAAACAGCAAATCCCCTCCCTTTTCCCTACTTCATTTTTGTCTCTAAAGCCCCATCATCATTAGCATGCCATGGATGGTACTTTTGTTTAATTGTTGATCTTCCCACTTAGAATATCAGCTATAAGGGTGCAGAGACTTTTGTCTCTTCTATTCACTGTTATCCACATAGCCTGGCACCCAATGAGCTTCCAAAAATATCTGTTCGATTTATGAATGAAAATGTGAACTACTTTCTCACAGTGTGGTTCATGTTTCCCTAATGTGCTTGAGTCAAAAGTAGTCCATCTGTGTCCTCCCTGTTTCAATTGACCCTTGCCTAACCATGCCTCTTCTGTACTCCCAGCCAAGTGCCAGCCTTCTCCTGTCCAGGGCCTGCCTTTCCATCAGGTTCCTCATTCTTTTCTGAATCCTAGACCTCCCTCTGCCATCTGGTGAAGCCCATGCATTCCTCCTCAAAAGTAATGCTTTAAATGCATACAGTAAACTACATAAGATAATAAAGAAAACCAATTAAATATAATTCTTAAAATATTAAACTTAATACATTATATATTTACATATCTAGATATAGATATCTACATATTTACAAGTACATATATTTGATATATATCAGATAATAAGATCTAGTAGAAACTCTAATACTATAATAAAGTAACTAAAAATACTGACTTGTATGCTGCTGCTGCTAAGTCACGTCAGTCGTGTCCAACTCTGTGTGACCCCATGGACTGCAGCCTACTAGCCTCCTCCGTCCATGGGATTCTCCAGGCAAGAGTACTGGAGTGGGTTGCCATTGCCTTCTCCAAATGACTTGTATAAATGTCTTCAAATGTCCTGCTAATACTTTTCTGGCTTGTTGCCTATATCATAACGTATGCCAGTGCTAAATTTCAGCTAGAGGTGAATGAAGGTGAAGATGTACTTTGTACCCATCCAAGTCTAAAGACCCTCCCTGGCCCCAAATTCCATCCAACGGGCCTTACCTGTCCTGGATGATGAAGTATTTCAAGGGGTCTGTGGCATTGCTGCTGGGCGTGGCAAAGCAGTTGGTCATGAGCAGTACAAACCGGGACAAGTCACCCCCATCCAGCATGGTACCGACGTAGAGAAACGCCTCGGTGGACAGGGTCACAGAGGAGCCTTGGTAGGGCTGTGTGTAGGCAGGGTTCTGGAAAAGTGCCATCCGCACGGTGAACGTGCCGGTCCCGCCCATGCTGATATTGAGGGCGCTGCAGGGGGAGAGAGGCTGGTGAGAGAACCAGAACCAAAAACAGCAACAGATAGGCCACTCTCTCTGATCTGCATTCCTGGGCAGTCCCTGGCAGTTATTTGGATTTTTATCCAGCAACAGGACTGGAATCCACCAACCATTGCTCTGCAAAACACAATAATCACACACAGGTCTCTTAGGGATCTTGTTGAAATGCAGATTCTGGATCTGTAGCTTTGGGATAGGGCTCAAGGTTCTGCATTTCTAATAAGCTCCCAGGTGATGCTGCTGCTTCTGATCCAGAGATCATATTTTTCTGTACCATGTCCACCCCCTCACATGGTGGCCCTTGCATCCAAGAAGTGCAGCAAACACATTCCCAAGGGAATCACCTAGATTCCTTTTTTTTATCTTAATATAGAACAGTTTTTAAAGATGGGCTATGAGTCCTACAGGCCTTAGAGTTCTGGCTCCACCTACAGCAGAAGATTAGGATTTTTAAAATGCATTATTTTAAATCACATTAAAAATAGCCACACTGATGGCAACTCCATGGGGATTATCCTACAAAGGATACTGAAGGACTGATGCCCCAGGAAAGGGGGTACATGAGAACAGTAATGCGGAAGTCCACTTTAGAGGTGAGTACTGGGTTATTTGTTTGGACTTGGTGTTTGACTGGGGTGAGATTTCTAGCTTAAGCCAGAGGGAGATCTGCATACAGATGTTTTGTTCCCTGGAACCTATTGGGTCTGAGACATGGCCACATTGCTCCAGAGCACTTCTTGGCCAGATGATATTCCACACAGAGGCAGACAAGGAGTAACTGTCTTCCTTCAAGTCAGCCGAGCACCTTCATCAGCATCAGGTGCCCTTCCCCAAGTCTGGCTGGCCCAGGAAACACATGCCCATGGACAAGCTTCAAAGAAGAGGTTATGGTAGAGTGGAGGCTCTATGCCTGATGGCCCGGGTTTGAATCTCGGCTCTGTAACTTACTATCACCTACCACTTTGGACAAGTTACTAAACTTTCTTTGAACTTCAATTTCAATAATAATACTAACACCTTCTAGGCCATGCTAAGATTTCAATGAGGCGTTCCATGTAGAGCACTTAGCACAATGCCTGGCATATGGTCAGCTCTTGATAAACACTTGCTATTATCACAACTATTATTTTTTTCCCAGTATCTGCATCACTGGCTTGTGATTCATCCTATTCAGAAATTTTCAAGTTTATTTAGCAACAGGATCCTTTTATTTTTTTAAGTAATAAAGTTGATAAAGAAGATGTGGTACATATACACAATGGAATACTACTCAGCTATAAAAAAGGATGGAATACTGCCATTTGCAGCACATGGAAGAAACTAGAGATTGTCATACTAAGTAAAGTCAGAAAGAGAAAGATAAATATTATATGATATCACTTACGTGTAGAATCTAAAATATGGCACAAATGAAGCAATCTATGAAACAGAAATAGACTCACAGATATATATATAACAGATTTGTGGCTCTCAGGGGAAGGGGGGATGGAGTGGGGGGGTTGGGGTTAGCAAATTTAAGCTATTATACACAGAATGGATAAACAGCAAGGTCCTACTGTATAGCACTGGAAACTAGAATCAATAACCTATGATAAACCATAATGGAAAAGAATATAAAAAAAGAATGTATAGAAATTAACACAACACTGTAAATCAACTATACTTCAATTAAAAAAATAAAATTAAAATTAAAAAAGTTCTCTGGTTCACATCCCCGAATCACCTCCTTAAAGACCTTCACACTCCAAAAGCATAATTTGTAAACCCCTCTTTATTCAAATTTCTCCTATTTACAGAGAAAGAAACTGAGGTCCAAACATGGGGCACGATTTGCCCAGTCCCACAGCAGGGACTGAGAATGCCTCCCTTCTTTCCTCTGGTCCAATCTCCCTACGCCTCAGATAAACCAGGGACCTTAATATTGGTTTCACCTCTGCAGAGCACTTTTGTGCTTTTAAGAAAGACAGTACATTACTGCTAAATCCATTTCACATACAAGACGACTGATGCCTAGAATAGGGCTATCAATTTCCCAAAGCCATTTGTGTGATAGAGCCAGGATTTGAAAGTGGGCTCCAGATTTCCTAGCTGGGCTCCTCATGGACTCTTTTTGGAGTCCAACACTGCCTCCCAGCTGACTGCCTCCAATAAACTGCTTATTGGTGGCAGCTGACAGAGAAGCTGAGGTCCTGGTGGCCAAGGGTTTGTGGGGTGGAGTTGGCTAGGGACACTGGGGACCCCCTCTGGCCGCACCTGACCATTGGCTGCAGCGAGGTCTTCAGGCTGACTTTCATGTCCAGGGGATAGGAGCATGCAAAGTTGATTCTGATGTTGAGGTCACGGATGATGATCTCATCTGCCAGGTAGAGAGTGTTGCTGTATGTGGCATGGGTCTCATTCCTCTATATTGGAGTAGGAAGGTGGGGGGAGGAAGAGCAGAAAAGGCATAGAATCTGAGTAGGCTTCAAAACCAAAGGCATTGAAACTGCTGAAAGTGCCCTCCCAATTTCCATGAGCATGAGTCATGAGCTAGGCGCCCCCCGCCCAAGCTGAATGTCCCGACTGCATCATTGCATGGATCCTTCAATGACCCTGAGAGGCAGGATGACCACCTCCCTAATATAGATGGAAGTTCGTGGGAACTGGGTAACTTATCCATGGTACAGGGGGTCTAAGAAGCTTGGACTCTTCCCATCATTTCATGCCTCCTCTCGCACATGCCAAAAGACTAAAAATCACATTCTGAGTCATCATTAATGATAGATCGTCAAAAAGTCATATTTGGCAAATGACAATTATTTCCTTGTTTCTTGTGTCTTTTTTTTTTCTCTGTGCAGGATGAGGGAGATGCAAGGAAGCAGAACCCACTCACACAGATATTTACCTCTGGGTTCTTTTGAAGGAGGCTTCTGTAGCTGAGGCCCTGGCTCTCTGAACACTGAAGGTGCAGACCCTGCCTCCCAGGAACCATCAGAGACAAACAGATCTGCTTCTGAACTCAGTGCTGATACCTACTGGCTTAGAATAGTCATTGCCCTATTGGGGCACTACCTTTCCCATCTGTCAAACAGGGAACTATCACTATGGATTGTCCTCTTTATTTGAAACTGACATTTATTGAGCATTTACTTTGTGCCAGTCACTTGTCTTAATCACTTTGCACATAGTAACTCCTTTAACTCTCCTAACCCTATGAAGGAGTTACTATCAGTCCGTTTTCAGCAGAGGAAGCTGAGCCACATCCAGGTTAAATAACTCACCCAGTTCACTCAGCTAGTAAGTGGTGGGGCTGGGCTTGACCCAGGCAGTGCTCCGACCCTGCCCCACACCGGCCAGAACGTACCGTCATCACTGTCCCGCAGGGGCCAGCCCTGGCTGGGGTCACCACAGACATCCAGTCCCGGTCACCCCTCTCAGGGAAGCCTGAGCACTGGCTGTCGTGCAGGTACATGAAGACCTTCTCAAAACCCAGACTCTTCAGCTGGCACTTGCTCAGGGACAACTTAATGTCATCAACCCCACATTCCAGCCTGCGCTCCAGGAGGGAGAGATCTGAAACGGTCAGGGAAGGCAGGATTGGAGGCCTGTGACCACAGCTCAGGGTTCAGCACATCCCCAGGGCCCGGGTCCAGCTAGCCGGGTTGGCCACCAGCCGGGGGTACCCAGAATCATGCTGTGGTCTCCCCTCTCAGAGAGGTGGAGGCATGAGACTGGGTTCCCAGCATCACTGGATGGATCCGTGTAACTAACCACCAGCTCATGTTACCCTAAGCATAGGCTGTATGCAAAGAAAAGTAACACATTTGGGTCATTCACTGCTCTCTCTGTGTATTCAGACATGTCCAACTCTTTGCAACTCTAGGGACAGACTGTAGCCTGCCAGACTCCACAGCCCCAGCATTAAATAACATTGAATCCTAGTAAAACAAAACAAATAACAAGCAAACAAAGCTAATAAGTTAATGGCAATTTCTTTCCATCCTTTCTATATCAAGGGGGCAGTCCTCAAGATTTGCTAATGTTTTTATTATTAACACCATACACTTGCTAATTTTCCTTGAAACCACAGAGAGCAGACCTCTGGTTAAGTATTTGCAGCATATAAAGAGATCCAGTTAGATTTTTTTAATTAAAGTATTACATAGTTGCTGAAATTTAACACTTTCATTGTATTCATTATTAGCCACTGCCTATCTAAGGTGTTACTTGCCACAGATAAGTCACAGTAGTGAACTTCAACAGCCCAAGTTTACTTAAAAGAAAGTTGTGACTAAAACCAAGATTGGAATTTGGGAAACACTAGCCTGCTTCAGTCATTATGTATACAGGCAAACAGGTTTAGAGATGGCCGGGGCCCTGCTCAGGGTCCTCAGCTGGTCAGTGGAGGGTCCAGTCCAAGAAACCACAGGCTGCTGGCCAGGCCTGTGTTCTTGTGCTGTGGGAATACAGCTCAGGTTAGCCTTTGGCCAACAGGTGGTAACCTCCTGCTTATCCATCCAGGTGTTGGGGGCCTCAGAAGCAAGCCTGGGGGTGGGGTTGTTCCTCAAGCTCTGGGAACTTATGGGTCAACCAAGGGGAGACTCCAGGAACCCAGAGAGCTTCTTGCTGATTTTAATGGGTACTACTGGCCTGACTTTCCACACAGATTGGATAAGATGCACTCCCTGGGTCATCCCCACAGGCCCCTAATTCACACACAGGAATGTGTCCCTCCCCAGGTCCCTGGCATTTCTGAGCACCACCCCGCCTCCCCTCCGGCCTCACCAGTGACGTTGAAGTCCTGTTGGCACTGGCAGTGCCATTCGCCATTATCCGATTTGCAGTCCTCGTCCACACGGCACTCCTCACACGTCCCCTCCACAGAACTGGGGTCTGCAGGGGCCACAGATATAGTCAAAAAGGATGAGCTCCAGGCTCTCGGGGCGCCCACAGGGCCCAGGGTGGGGTTGCTGGGAGACACCCGCTCACCTGTGCAGTAAGCCAGATGGCACTCAGGGGGCGCCGTCAGATTGTACACGTAGTAGCCGCCGGCACAGGCCTTCACTTGGACGGGCACGTCCCACAGGCAGCAGTCGCCGCTCCAGTGCGCACAGGCCACGCGGCTCACGATGCCCTCGTCGCTCGATGGGTGCGTGCCGTTGAGCCACATAGGCGCGGCCGTGTTGCAGTGCAGGGCGGGCACGCAGGTCTCGGGCAGGCGCACGCCGCCCTGGCCCATGAAGCGGTACCAGCCGCCCAGACTGACATCACAGGCGTACCCGGGGCCGTACTCTGCGCTGCGCCAGTATTCGTCCAGGATGCGGTGCGCCTGGCACGGGTCAGCACACACGAGCGCGTCGCCCTCCTGCACGCAGTCTAGCCCGGGCCCGCAGGAGCCCGGGGAACACTCACAGTGCCTCCCGTCCCCCCAGTAGCCCGCGGCACACACGCACGAGTAGTTGCCCTCGCCATTGACACAGGTGGCCAGGGCGTGGCAGTGGCTGAGCCCTGGTTCTGCACACTCGTCCACGTCCACGCAGCCGAGCTCCGAGCTCAGGAGGAAACCTTCGGGGCAGACGCACGTGTAGGAGCCCAGCGTGTTCACGCAGCTGCTGGTGGTGGAGCAGTGGTGTGCCCCCGGAATGGCACATTCGTCCAGATCCGCACACTCGAGGCCATCGCCAGAGAAGCCCTCCTGGCAGGCGCAGGTCATGGCAGCCCCGTCCACCGTACACGTGGCGTTGGCGTGACATTCAGAGCAGCTTTCTGCAGACAGAAAAACCCAGATTCAGAGTGGGGGTCGCTAGGCCACTGTTCACCAAGAGACTTTCCATGGTCCTTAGGGTTCTTTAAGACAGAGCAGACCCCCTTCCAAAGAAACAAATCAACCTTCCCTGATGTCTAAACACCCACCTGCATTCTTGTGTTAAGCATTGCATTCAAGCTGTATCATCTTTTCAAACATCCACCTTTCCACCCCCAGAGGAAAAATGCAGAGTTCTTGACACTTCGGTAAGGATTTAGGGAACCCTGTCACCCCTTCCCCAACTTGATATATTCTATGCCTTTTGCTCAGATCTCCTTCCCTTGGCCCCCCTCTCTACCTAGCAATAGTACCCACACTTCGTGTGTTCTTCTGTGACAATAATAAAGATAATAGTAAAGATGTCATCTATCAAGCACTTAGGATATGCCAGACACTGGGATAGGCATTTTCTATCCATTGTCTCACAGAATCCTCTCCAGTGGCCCTGGAAAATGACTTTTGTATTTAGCCATATTTTAAAGGTGAGGAAACTTAAGATTCAGAAGGTTTAATCTACTTGCTTCATTGGTAAGCAGCAGAGCCAGGACTCAAATCGAGGTTGCAGGACCACAGTGTGTGTGCTCCACGATGACATGATGGTATTTACTCTGCTCCAGAGAACTCCAGTTGGGGTTTGTGTAGAGGTATCTAGCTCCCTTCTCCAAGAAAAAGCTAATAGCAATGTGCAACCCAATGGAAGGGTCACTTATGTATGAAAGGGGATGTCTTTGGGTACCACCCAGATATGTTCACATCTCTCGTGTGGTTGAGTGTGTTCTTGACCTTTCAGTAAAGTGCCAGGGGGGCTTAGTGATGTTCTAAACTTTGGTTTCTCAATATGTGATCCAAGGATCACACCATCAGCATCATCTGGGAGCTTGTTAGAATGCAGAGTCTCAGGCCCCACCCCAGGTCTACTGAATCAGAATCTGCATTTTAGTAAAATTCCTGGGTGAATCCTATGTACATTAAAGTATAAGAAACGAATTTAGAATAAAGACTATGCAAATCCCAAGCTTAAAAGGAGAGGGACTGAGACCTCTTCTGCTAATGGTGACACTGCTCTCTACACACACAGCACTCACTTGCTGATGAGGTGTCAGTTGCTGCAGGTATGATGACCCAAGAGGTCACCACCACTGCCATCCACATCAAGGTCGGAGAGAAAAGACACTTCATCCTTTCTGCTCCTCACAGCTTCTTCTGTTCTGGGAAGACTTTCCCAAAGACAAGGAAAGGCTGGCCTCTTGAGATTTCCTCCCCGTCCCTGATCCCTGAAGTCCTGTGAACAGAGACAAATGAGATAAATACATGATGGAACTCCCTTCCCCACAGTTGGGAAAGTGCTTTGGTTGTGCACTGTGCAAGTCCAGGAGATGCCATTTATGTGAAGGACAAAAAGTGTGTAGTGCTGTGGTCCTTGCTTTGGTAAAGATTTCCCCTCTGTGGCCTTACTCTTAATTCCCACCACATCCCAGCCTCAGCTCCCCAAGTCTCAGTGCATTTGAAAGAGCTGAGTCTCTCATCTGGAGCAGGAACCTGCAAGATGGGGCGGGGTAGTGGGGAGATGTTCTGGACTCACCATTTTATTGGAGGCACCTTGGGTTTTTTAACAGTCAACTCCTAATCCCCTCATGGAAAACTTTGAACTTTCCTAAATGCAGTTATTCATTCAACAGATATTTATTGAGTAGTTACTATGTGCCAAATGGGAAGCTATTAACCAAATGACAGACAAGATTCCTGACTTCATGCAATTCGTGTATTGTAAAGAAGTGGCTTGAGATAAGCAGCTTGAGAGGTGATTAACCTTCATAATGTATTTTAATGTTTCCAGAGTGCTCATATATTATTTCACTCACCCAGCAAAATAATCTACTAATACCCCAATTCTTATAGTTGCAAAATAAGGTAGCATAGCGGTTAAAAGTATAGGACCTGGAGGCTGCAACAAGGATTTGAACCCCTATTTTACCAATCACTATGATTGGTAAACTCACATGTGACATTGGGCAATGTATTTCAATTCACTAAGACTCAGTTTCCTCATCTATGCAATAGATTATTGCTTGCACAGACTGAGTGGCTACAATGCATCAGGCTCAGTGTGAAGTCTCCTGTTAGTAAAGAACCTGTAAACAAAGGTTTACAAACCTTTGTGACCGTGATCTGCTATAAGGAAAATATTTTATGCCATGATCCAGTACAGTTGCTTGTACACATACACACACATGCACACATGAAATAAATGTTTTATAAAACAATTCTTACCATTACTATGTGCATTCCTTGCTGATATATCCTATTGTATCTAATTAAAAGAAAATTCTGAATGTAACCCACAAATGATTCTATAATCCACTAATGGGTTGTGAACTATAGTTTGGCTAATAATGGACTGACTGCATATTGTCGTCCCGGTATTAACAAAGATGATATGTGCAAAGCAGGTTCAGAGCAGATGCTCTTGTTCACTGCTCTATCCATCCCCAATGCCTGATATATAATAGGAACTTCACTCATGTGCATTGAACAAATGGAAAGATTGTAGTCGTTGTTGTTAGGGAAGTGCAAGATCAAAGAGAGGCAAGTTGATTTACCAAAGCCCTTAAAGTCAATAGTCAGCCGAGTAACAACTTATCCTAGGTTTGATTTAAGTGTCCAATCTCTTCATTTCCAGACCCCCATCCCTCAAGCAGAATGGGAGCCAGCAAAGACTAGATGGGAGAAGTGGCTAGGAGAAGTGAGAGCTGCAGTCAGCCTTACCTGAAACCAGAAAGGTAGAATTAATCCTTTTACAAGTAGGTGACTTTCATATCTATATATATATACATCTGTCCCCCACTGGCAATCTCTCCTCCAATTATCCTCTGCTGTTTCTTAATTATTTTAATGGGGGTGGAATATTTTTCCCTTTGACACAGTGTTTTCCTTTTCTAGGCTGTGAGGTGGTTGTTGTTCTTTTCCCTAATAGGTAGAGACCCCAAATGATTGACATTGGGGGTCACAGTTGTGCCCACAATTAAAGGACTCTGTTTTATATCTTTTGGCAACAAGAGGTTGTTTAGTTAGAAATTAACTGGGTAAACAATTCCAAGGGCTTGGACTTTTCTTGGTCATTGAAAAGCACAAGGTGGAGCCAAGCAAAGGCCAGAATCTGAAGCCAGGCTGCTCCAGGAGCAAAGGGGTATTCATCGTTCCCACTGGGATGTGTACTTACGGCCACTCAATTCCAAAGCAAATTCCATCCTCACAGGTTTAGCCAGCTCCCCTGGGGTCCAGATGTGAGCAGGAAAGGAGTTGAGAATGGCTGAAGGTCAGAGACAGAAGATAATTCAGACATCATTGGACCAGATGCTCTGTGAATCAAGAAATTTGAATTCCCATGAAGGAAGGTCCTTGAGAAGTAGATAATTTTGTAAATGAACAGACTGACTTTGGAGTCAGTCTATCTGAGTCCTGGTCAGCAATTTTTTTGTGTGTGTGCCAGTGGGCTCACTTCTTTCCTTCCTGAGGTAATTTTCATCATCTGTAAAACAAGAATACCTGTGTCCTGGAATTGTTATGGCCATTAAAGGAGATGATGCAAGTTAAGGCATATAGCAATGGTACCATCTGTGGGAATCACAGCCAATGCTGCTTTGATGATGTGCAGTCATGGGGTAGAGAATGACAGGGCTTGGTTCAACCTTATGTCTCCTGACCTAATTCCACATTAATGATAATGCCATATTGAGAAAAATCAGGTGCATGTGAACTCAGGCTGAGCAGGAAATATGGCAGTGATCCACAGCATCGACTCTTTGAGGGCTTTCTCCTGTCTGGCTTAGTGGTTGGATGACTATCAGCAGTGGCTCACTCACCTCCTCAGGGGAATTTCATAGGAAAAGAGGAAGCACAGTTTTCTTCCCAAACAGCACCCCAGAGAGATCTGTAACAATTAGTTTACAATCCCAGTGCTGTTCTCAGCCACCCTGGACATTAACTTTCCTCTTTGTGGAAAAGTGAGAAATATCTCATTGTTATTTACTTTTGCAGTTCTTTGATGAAAAAGGAAGTTATCTTTTCATTTTTTTCCTATTTATTCTTTTCTGAACTGTTTGTATCCTTTGCCCGTTTTTCCCCCATATGAATGATTTTTTCCCTTTGCTATAACTTAAGAAGAAAATAAAAGTTCTTAATATTTTTTTCTCAATCCTAGATGGTGAATGTCATTTCTGGTTGTCTGAGAGCCTCATGACAGAACATGAGGCTCTGTCAAAACCTAAGTCTGGGTGTCTTTAAAGGATTAAAGATGGAGCTCCAGGTAGCTCCTAAAGTTGTCTGAGCAGAGATCTTGGGTAGGAAAATAGGGAGTTTGGGCTGAGACTATTCTTAAGTCTAATAGCCAACCACATTATTCAAGCTTTTGTGTTTGATGCCTTTACATCTTGAAACTTTGGTGATTCTGGAGGGACTGCCCTACTGAGGGTGAACTAATGCCTAGAGGTAGCATTGGAGATACACCTCGATACCTCTAGGAACATCATATTCCTGAGAGCATGCCTTTCATATGCAAAACAGCCAGTCTAGATCCCATCACCCAAGCTCTCCTCTGTCAGGCTTACACTCAGGACCAGGTACCAGATAACTAGGGACAATTTCCAAGTCCCAGAGCCTATTGACGTTATTCCAGCTAGCCAATCCTAAATCTGCTTACCTTGCCTCTTCCATTCCTTCCTATGGAAACCAGAATAAAGGCAACATTTTCAGATTATAGTCATATTTTCCCCTTGCTTCCTCTGCCCTCTGACCAACCCTAACACTTTCCTATGTGCCCCCCTCATGGCATGACATATACCCTCTTCTTAGGATCTGAGAGTATAATAAACTATCCTTTGATGACAGTTATCTCCTGATCTGTTGCCCTTGTCATACCTGAATTATAATAAAATCTGTATTTTAAAACAGTAAACATCACCTTCATTTAACACAACTGGATCATCTTGTGGTATTTGTCTAATTGGCTATTCTTCCACTCTTTGTTCTTCCCACCCTCCCCGCTCCCACCCACCCCACACACTTAATGATGACCTGGCATACTTCATTGGCATCATTGAGCCATGCCTCCCACATCTTCTCCATCTACCTGCCTCTGGACTCATCTTCCTCATCCTCTGCTCCTTTCATAGAGACAATATCCTTCTGTAAAAGGTCCTTCTCTCCCTGTATGCTCTGATGACCACCCAGCAGAGAGTCATCACCTGCCCCATCTACCCACACTGTATTCACCAATCTGAGCCCCCACTTCCTAAGGCCTCACTGCATCTGGGAGACAGGCAAGTAGCACCTCCATTTTCTGGCTCATGGCCAGTCAGGAGCTCTTTTCCATGTGATTTAGTTCCACGTGATTTCCTAGCAGCACCCGGGGACCTCCTTCAACTGGCAGCCACATGGCTTTAAGGCTGAAGCAGGTGAGCTTGGAATCGTGTCTTGAATACTAATACCTGCTCCTGCCAGGGCAACTGGTTCAGGTGAGTTGCAGGGCCCCAGGCTGTTCCCTGCTTGGTCTGGATGTGGACAGGCCGGGTTTGGGGAAGGAGAGACTGGGGCACTGGCTATTGAGGCCTGATAAAATGCAATCAGCCTTTGCGTTACACAATGGGAAGGCTATGGAGAGGCCCGGGTGGTTTGTGTAGACCTTAGTCCCTAAAATATTATGCCCTCCTTTTACCAAGAGAAGGTCTGTCATACCTGATTTAAGTGAATGTCACAAACCAGCAGCGTGAATATGAATGACCTCGTAATATGTTTATGTCCTAATCCCCAGAATCTGTGAATGTTACCTTACATGGCAAAAGGGACTTTGTGGGTGTAATTAAGATCGGCATCTTGAGATGAGGTTATCTGGGCAGGCCCAGTGCAATTACAGTGGTGCTTATGAGAGAGATGCAGGAAGAATTAGAAGAAGCAGGAAGAGTGAGGATGGAAGCAAATGGTCAGAGTTCTTTGAGGAAGAAATCATCAATGGCAGGTCACCACTAGAAGCTAGAAAAACGGGGTAGTACCGTGAGCTCTCATGATACGGCTTTTTAAAAGAGCACTTTAACAGCTTTAGGGAATATGGATAGTGTTGGGGGGGGGTTCTTGGAGGTAGAGAGCAGCAGTGGAGGGACCAATTGGAAGACTTCTGTGGCTGAGACTGGTGGTTGAGGATGGGAATAGTGGATGGAGTCACTAGTGGATGGAGTGGAAGGAAGTGGGAGGAGTCATGTGGCTTGGTGGAGTTACTTTTATGGTAATAAAAGGAAAGAAGGGACTTGAGGTTTAGCCTAGCATATGGTTGCTTACCAGAATGAGTCATTTTAAGATGTGAAAGACTAGGGAGAGATTTTGGATCGAATCTCTTTCCTACTGTGCTACAATGAAGCATAAAAAGATCATTCCACCTCTTTGAAAGCATCAGCCACCCTCTCTGGGGATCCCATTGTGGTACTGGTGATGGTGATGTATGCACCACCTGTGGAGTGAGATTGCCCAGAATCATTTTTCAAGGGCTTTCTAGCCTTGTGATCCTGCCTGGTTGTTCAACCTCTCTTTGCCTCAGTTTCCTCATCTGGGGATGATGAAACCTAACTCTCAGTGAGGTTGTGAGAACTAAGTGAATGCCCAGCATGTTGTAAACACTCATTAAATGCTAATATTATGGCTTCCCTTGCAACTCTACCTGAATTTGAGGCCAAACAGCTTTTCTAAGGCAATACCAAGCAGAAAAAAAGAGATAATGAGTGACACGGGGCCAAAGGCATTCAGGGGCTTTTATTATCCAGCCTCCACGCACCTACCACAATGATATAGAATTTTATTTGGAGTATATCCACTCAGAAAATGATGCCAGGGTCTGGAAAATGGGCACCCTCTCTTCCTGGCTCTGGAGAGCCTTACAGTTCTTCCTTCACTCTTGGTTCCTTCCCCTGTGTTGGAGGTTCCTTTGGCTCAGCTGCCTTCTCCTCCTCAGCCTTTTCTTTCTGCTCAGCTGGCCCTTTGAGTTTGGTTACATTCTCCAACTCAGGCAAGTTCTGTTCTGGTAGCTCTTTCTTCATAAAAGCTTCCTCCTTTTCCTCCGCTAATACCTCCTTTTCTGTCTCTTCACTTTCCTCAATAGAGAGTAGCTATTTAAGAAAAGAAGTGGGAGGGAGAAAGGGTTGGAGGAGGAAAAATAGAGGCAAGAATTATGCAGTAATTGTCATTGTACTGCCAAACAACCTTTCGCTGCTCTAAGCCCAGAGATGCTGCTGCCCCAGGCCTGGCTACTGAGATGCGCCCCAGGACATGTGCTAGGACTACCAAAGACCTGGTATTAGTAATACTTTCTTTGCAAGCTGAGAAGGTGTTAGCTGAGAGCTGTGGAGCAGTCACTGCCCCTCTGTGGGGAAGTGCCTGCCTGGGAATGAGCAAACAGGAAAACAGAGATGGGAGACAGAAAAAGACCCTGAGCTTCAGAATCCACCCACATTTAATATTCTCCCAGTTATAGAGGATAAATTCCCATTGCTGCTGAAGCCAAACAGTGCTATAGTTTCTGACATTTGCAACTGAAAGGGTCCTAACTAATACAGAGGACCCCTTCCAGCAGACGGCCTTACTGAGGCATGGCCAGAATTAGGAGGGAATGAAGATTGTAGAACGATGCCAGGGCACAGGAGCCCATCAGGACATGTGGCTAAGCACTCGAGAATAGTGGACCTAGGGGAGCAGCCTAGGAGCTGTGTGAGACCTTGTCCTTCTGTGTTTCTCATTTCTGCCTTTCTAGTAGCATGTGTCCTTGAAATAAGGTCATCCAACCTGGATCCAGCCTCCATTCTCTCCCATAAGATTATAGAACTCTTGGCACCCTCTTTCCTAATCTATTGAGCTCTTGATGGTTCTGTGTGGGACAGAATGGTCTAGGGTACTGCTGTTTCACCTTACCTCATCTTCATCCTCAATCTGGATCTTGATTTGACTTTCCAGGAAGTCAGAAAAGCCCTTCAGGGTGTATTCACCTTTATACTGTACAGCCTAGGAAGAAAACGGAGCAGAGTTGAAATGGCAGCCCCTTCCCGCAGGATACTCAGGGATTGCTCCACAGACAAATCCGGAGTCAAATTCTTAACAACCTGAGCGCAGTGAGCAAGTTCCTTAACTTCTCTGAGCTTTCATTACCATAAGAATAATGAAATATCCTCCATCATAAGGCTGTGATGTAGTCGTTCAGAGCAAGAACTATGGGGTCACAGTGTTGGGGCTCAGACCCTGGCTTCATCACTTCGCAGTGTTGTCTGGAAGCTTAAACACTCTGTAACTCAGTTTTCTTAACTGTAACATGAAGTCCCTCTCTCATGGTGTTGTTATATGGATTTAATGAGTTACTATGTGAAAAGCAGGCTTCCCTGGTGGCTCAGAGGTAAATCTGCCTGCAATGCAGCAGACATGGGTTCTATTCCTGGGCTGGGAAGAGCCCCTGGAGGAAAAAAAAGGCAATCCACTCCAGTACTCTTGTCTGGGAAATTTCATGGACAGAGAAGCCTGGTGGGCTTACAGTCCATGGGGTCGCAAACAACATGCAAAAGGCACTTAAAACAATGCCTGACTCATAGGAGCACTATATATATATATATGCTGTTTTATTACTAAAGGTTAAGAATATTTGTTTTACAAAGTGTCTGGCATATGTTCTTGCTTAGCTATCACTAGCTTCCTTTCCTTTTTCAGTCTTTAAGAAGATTAGGAAACTGCTTACTGCCCTCTGGCTGTCTAAACTCCTTTTCAGACAACTGAAGATCTGAACCAGTTCCATCCACCTTTCAATCTAGCCTCATTTTCCATGTGCATCTTCTACACCAGGAGGATGACATCTCTTTCAAAGTTCTGTGGTGAGCCTTCTGCCTACCCCCTTGTTTATATATGCTCCCTACTTATAATTTACACACTACTGATTTAAATCCCTACCATTCTTTAAAGTGTCATATTTTCATGAAGACTTCCAGCCATATCTGCCCTCCAGAATCTGCCCTATTTAATGCCAATTGCATTTGAAGATGAAGCTATACCATGACTTTCAGTTCAGTTCAGTTCATTTCAGTCGCTCAGTCGTGTCCAACTCTTTGCGACCCCATGAATCGCAGCACGCCAGGCCTCCCTGTTCATCACCAACTCCCGGAGTTTACTCAAACTCATGTCCATTGAGTCAGTGATGCCATCCAGACATCTCATCCTATGTCACCTCCTTCTCCTCCTGCCCCCAATCCCTTCCAACACCAGGGTCTTTTCCAATGAGTCAACTCTTCACATGAGGTGGCCAAAGTA